CATAGCGCAGAGCACCGCATCCGTTCTGGGCCCGTACCGGGTAGCTGCGCTGGTGACAGACATCGCCCGCGCGAGGGGTGTCAACGGCACGGCTGGACCCAGCAGTCCGTAACAGGCAACCACGGACAACAAACAGACGAATGCCAGTCGGTCGCTGCTGCCAGGCAGCAGAGAGCACCAAACAGCCGGCGACGCAGCCTGACATACTTCCAGCTCTGGTCCCGGCCTCCCGGGGCGGCCAAGGTGCGCATCAGAAGCGCCTCCCCGGGGCGTGCGTGTCACACGAGCCATCCCGTCATCGGGCGGCGGCGCGCGCCGGCGCTGGGAGCGGCACCGCAGCGGCCGTTGGGAGGCCCGGCGACGGGTCGCGGGCTCGTCCGCCCCCGGAGCGGCCCGTGTGGGAGCACACCGCCGGCCGGCCGACCTTGAAGCTCGCAGCTCGAGAGTTTCGAACGGCGAGGAGTGGTCGCGGCGTAATGAATCGAGGGCTTCCAACGGCCGCGCGGGAAGGCTCGGCATGGACGGCCCGGCCGGGCCGCCTGGTGACCCTGCGCCGCCGACCGTGTGACGGCCGCAGCCCGGAGCCCGCCAGCCCGGGCCGACCCTCAGGTCGGTCAGCAGCCGAACCCAGCCAGGATAGGGCCGGACCGACGCCCGCGGTGCGGCTCACGGTCCCTGACTAGAGCCTTCAGCAAGGACCCGTCTGAGTAGCCACGGTGCAAAACTGCGCGTTGCTCCCGGCGGAATGTCACAATGGATAGTATGTGCCAATCATTACAGAATACGGCACGGAATTACACACACCCGCTGTGGCGACTTCGTCATCTTCTCGCAGTGCGAGAAGGCAAAGAATTAAACTTTCCCGTGCCGCAGTGAATTTCACACCGAGTCTCCATTGTACCAGTGGTCACGTTTCATCCGATCACGAATCCGAGTCCGTATTTACAAAAGCGGTCAGGGCGGGCCAGACCGGAGCCCAACGCGTTATCGCCCCGCTTGGGCCGCCGCTCAGCCTTCCTCGATCGCACCGCTCAGGCCGGCGCATGATCGTTCTGTCTGCCCGCTATCGAAGGGGCCGCCCACCTGACCGAGGCTTCAGCGTGGAGGGTAACGACAGCTACCGAAGGCCGGCGGGCCCGCCGCAAGTGGCCCTGGCCCACTGCCGCCCGTGGCCATACCAAGCCTTCCGCGGCGGCCGACGCACGCGCGGTCAACACTTAACATAGAAACATTTTTTTTACATTTGAGCAGCAGCATCTTGGTAGGACATGGCCTGCCAAGAACCGTCACGCTTACGCAATGTAGCCGAACGATTCCGTAGAAGGAGAATGTCACTCACAGACGTGGTCCACTAGTGATGAAATGCCACTTCGACAGATGCGCCCTGAATACGGCCGTGACCCAGTCAGTAACTGACAATATTCACAACTCTCTTATGCTCCGTCCACCTACCAGACACCCAGTCACCTTCGATGGGAAGGCGCCGACTGACAAGAAACAAGCCGCATCTGACCGGCCGCCCGCACAGCAGGCGGCACTGACCTCCTTGGTCCAGGGTCCCTTGACCAGCTCAGGGTTGACGACGCGGTTCCCACCTGCTCTGGATTGTCGTACTCGTTCTTTGCCGGAGAAGAGCTGGCGGATCACGTCCCACTTCTCGCCGTGCGCGTCCACGGCATGTTTCAGCTGCTCGTCCTGCGGCCCGGCCGGGTCACGTCAGGTCAGGTCACGTCACGTCACGTCACGTCACGTCACGTCATGTAACGTGACAGTCCGTACCATGCACGTTCGCACAGAGAGGTTTGCACCACGTTCCTCTCCTTTTTTATGTTCCATTCCCCTCCCCCTCCTCATTGGTATCATGGTCGGGTGGAGTGTATAACCGGCGGCAGCGGTCACGACAGTGGTTTGATCGCGCCTCTCTCTCCCCGCCGCGGATTGTCCGCCTCCTGTCTGCCCCAAAGCGGCAGGCCCCGTGTCGGCCCGTGTGAAAGGTTACATAAGTGCGAGGCCCGGATGGCACCGGTCCGCCACCCGTCCACGTTCCCACGATGCCACCGCAGGCTCCCAAAATTGTATTCGAATCTGAACCCAAGAACCCTGTCGTGCCATGGTCAAAATTGATTTTCTCCTGACGATTGCTAAGTGCAATGCTATACAAAAGACTGTCGTGAAAGAATTGTTAGTGTTCGCGCAACACACAAGCCCACAGCGTCGACGTGGCGTAGCCACCGAGCGGCTGGTGTCTTAAACCTCCCACGTGGGGACCCGGGTTCGAGTCCCGGTTGCGCCATGGCCTCCGAGCCCTCACGAGGCCTCTGTACGCACTGGCACTCCATAAAACAGCGCGCGACGACGTGCGTCGCGCCCCCCTTTCATATTTAAAAAACACAGCATAAAGTACAGCAAAGAAACTGGCAGCAAAATTTCAGTGCATTCCTGCAACCAAGACTTGCATCAATGGTTTGCATACTGGGAATCTTGTGGACGATTTAAGGGAATAAACTCTGCATAATATATGTATAGGTTAGTGTTTGTGTCAAATTGATTATAATGTTTATGAGCAATATGTGTAGTTCTACATAGATGCATGCATCAGAGAATCCAGTATATTTATCCAACATGACCAAACCATCCAGCTTGGATCCTGATGGCACTGAGATAGGAGGTGTATATATTTTTGCCAATGAAACCTAATATGGATCCCACATGGCGGAGTCAACAAAGCCAATAACAATTTGCATGCCCTGGCCCATGTTTAAAAGACATGAGAAGAGTGATGGCTTGCTTGGGTGTACAACAGAACCTGTCTGTGAGCTAAAAGGAGTAATGACTTGCTTGGGCATACAACAGAAACTGTTAGTGAGTTAAAAGCAAGTTAAAAGGAGTGATGACTTGCCTGGGCATACAACAGAAGCTGTTGGTGAACTAAAAGAGCATTAACTATTGCCACAAACCTTTTGCCCACTTTGTCAATTTGGTATTTTCTTTCATACATACTTCACCCATTCAGTGGAACTTTGAATTTCAGTACAGCCAACCTTGATTTTCAGTACAGTCAACTTTTTAACATAATCAGAGGAAGCATGAACACCATATAGAATAAGGAGCAGCAGCCCTTACCATGATGGTCAAAAAGAAAGCAGCACATTAACATGCATCAAACATAATGTTCTTCTATGAGCCTTGATGTGAACACTCGACATGCATCACACACTACCACAATACATGATACTCAAAGACTATATTCCAATGCAATGATGCACTATCATTTTGAACATTATAATTGACACAAATGTTTTAAAATTCCCATTTACAAAAAACACAAATTTTGATCTTCCTGAAATGATTCACATCATTTCTGCATCTGAACTGACCTTTCCTAGAGGTGGTTGAGAGTATCAAAGTTCATGAGCAGTATGCTTAGAGGAATGAGGCTCTCTACTCAGGTCTTCAGCATTTGGTAATGCTACAGACCTGAGTACAATAAACACTACAGTGCAGCGTTTAAGGATTTGTATACAATGCTGCAATTCTAGAGGCAATAGAAAAACATAATTGCAGCTTGCATGGTAAAGCTCACCTCTTCTTTGGACCACTTGGACTTCTTTGATTTCCTACGATTCATTGGAGGATTCTGTGGACTGCATGGGTGAAAATGGATTCTGCACCAATGAAGTGAAGAATAGCCTGAAACATATGAAAATAATTATCAGATGACAGGCAGTCATGACTTGTAAGGTGGAATGGTAAACATTCATTAATTATGGCTTGTGGCAGAGTTGTCATACCAGGCGCAGCTAAATGCCTCAGCCTTGAAATATCCAGAGCACAAATTTTGTTGTGAGCTAAGTTAGTATTATTTCAGATGTGCAAACATTTACAATACACAAATTTACAGCAATCTAACTTTTGTGGCAAACAACAAACCAAAGATAATCACATTTTCAATCCTTGGTTTTACCAAATAAAACACCCTTTATTTTGGTTTCCATCTTGTTCATTCAATGTCCAGCAAACCTTACACATTAAATGCTGCAAAATGTAAGTCTTAGTCTGATAAAACCTACATCCAACGCCCCAAAATAACAATATGTCAAATATGGCTCACTGAAGCAGGAGATCGTGAAACAGATCTCAGACAGCTAAGCCCTCGCCCAAAACTTGACGAACTTCCATTGGGCATAAGCCTTGACACAATCAATGCTGCAGAAGACTCGCTAAGATTATCATTTATTTTAATGCATGGAATGACAGGCAAAACCGTGCTCAAAGCAGGCTGGGAATGTTCCGATCCCGATTCAGGACTGGGGTGTGCGCAAAGCAAAAAGCGTGGCGAAAATGGCGACCTCACCTTAGCAACAATTCGCGGAACTTCTGAGAGACCACAACTGCCACTTACAACATTACCCGGACAGCTAGTGAGTCAACAACAATATTGTTTGCGGTAGCCTTGGCAGTCAAATTTGGAAAATGCCGGCGCCTGTAATGCCGCTCAAGTCTCCCGCCACATCCACACATTCACATCGAGACAACAAACTTGCGCGCCATACAAACAGCTGTCTACCCCGAGGCGTCTACCGGATTCCTAACCGTGAATTCTCCTCCACGTTCCTCTACTGCTACATGATTGGTCTGCTGCGAATAGTGGCGCGTCAGTTGAAAGTCTACCGCCAGTTCACACGAGGTAATGCGGGCAAAGGGAGGCCGGCGGATGTCGGCACTTTCCCATTTCCTTTCTGTGGGAAAATGCGGGTCGGAACGCCTGTGGGGTCGGTTCGGCATTGCCCGGTCATTGACGTTAGGGCTTGCTTGTCGCTAGCGGTGATCTACTGACGCCGTCATGCATTATTTCACCTGTGTCATACCCTTTCTACTGTGGGGTGTGTATATCCTTTATGCCCCCCTTCACCGTTAAGAGATCGCGCGGGCCACCGGACAGAGGCTTGCGCTCGCCGAATTATCAGCATTATGGTGTAACTCCATAGCATTTAAGAGGGGACCGGGCTCATCTTTCGTTTTTGATGCCGTTCATCTGTTACAGCACGTGTGGAGGACAGGGAGGCGTAACTGAGGGATGGCGGGCAGAGTAACTACCGGTTGGTAAGGGCGCAGTTCCCATCTAACATGGGGCTTCAGCTCCCTCCCGCATGAAAAAATAGGCCGACGTACGCGAGGGTAGGTTGCGTCACTTTGTACTGTACAGCTCCCCTTTGCCCCAACCGATTTTGTGGAACTGCTATTATGAAGGGTTCAAAGTGGCCAAAGATGCTTGAAGTAATTTATTGGTGGTCCTCTTACAAATAGCATGTAATACTGTCACGCGCCGTGCAAGAAACTCAGTGTGGCGAAGTTACTGTAGTTCACCGCCTTGACTTTTCATGCTTCGTAATTTACTTTTTTACTGTTTTTTAACGTGTTATCAGCTGCTGCTTTCAACAGGCTGGTTATTTTTCCGCGACGGATACTGAGCCAAGATCATTTGATCACGCTCCCAGCATCTAATTCCCGGCAACCGATGCCCCATGCCTGTTCTCTCCACTGCTGTCCAAAGTAAACACCAGCACCAAAGTAGTCCTGCGTGTATTTGCCGCTGAAATGAAGGTGGCGAAGGTGATGAATCAGTGAGAGGCGGGCACATCGGCCCCCTTGAACGGGGCCAGCACCGTCTCGCGACCGCACATCCCGTCCGGCGGCCGGGCGAGTTGCGGCTGTGCAGCGCCGCGGCCCGTGTCGGAGGCAGCGGTACGAGCGACGCGCGCCGACCCAGCCGCCGCCGCGCCGAGGCGGATCGGTCAGGTACGGGCGGCGGGCGCGGCGGCGCACACTGGTCCGCGGGCGGCGCCGGCCGCCCAGCGCCGCTCGCCATACATGCACACATAACAATCACTGGGCGGCCGCGTCGACGCCGCGTCGGCGAACAGCACGGTGGCGCCCGCCCCGCAGGTGGCGGTCCCTGACGGCGCGGCGCGGCGTCCGGCAGCGTCCGCTGTCGGGGCAGCCACGTCTGGGGTCGTCCTGCGGCCGGCGTCACCGCCCGCCGGTCTGTCGGCGGTCGGCGCCAGCTCATCGCCTGCAACAGAGAGGCGCCGCTCGAGAGGCGAGGTCCTGGCGCGACAGCAGCCGCCCACTCCCCCCCCCCCCTCCCCCTCCCCCACTACGGGGACAGACGGTCGGAACCGAGCACACTCCAAAGGCGGGGCGGGGCGGGGCGGCACCCGGACCTGGGGTCAGTGACCCAGCGGACGTCCCATGCTGGTCGTTGTGTCCGTCTTCACCGACACAAGGCGCGAAACGCACAGACATCACACAAGACATACAGTGCATAGCCAAAAGTGTATAGCAAAGACAAAACATCCAGACACCACCTTTGTGTAGCCAAGAGTGCATAGCAAGGACAAAACATCCAGACATCACCTTTGTGTAGATCAGGGTAACTGCCAGATCAATGCTCAGCGCACCTCCAGATGTGCATGGATATGTGTGCACCCTAACACACTAGGTTTGACAATTATGGCATAAAATGATGTAGCCTCAGCTTTCGGGCACAAAATGTCCATTCCTTGTATACGAGACATCCGTGCAGTTCCACGGAATACTAATCTGTATCGGTTTCCGTGAGTCAGCCATGCCACGGCCGCTGCAGTCGTTCATTAGTCTCGCCAGGAGTGACCGGCCCTGTCTGCCAGTGACCGGCCCTGTCTGCCAGTGACCGGCCCCGCCGCCAGGTGCCGTCCTGTCCCCGCCGGGGCGGAAAGGCCAGGTCATTCTGGTGGCCGACCGCCGCCTCACCTGGCCTTCTTCGACTTGTGGCGGTCTCCGCTGTCGTCACGGCTCCGCTTGCTGCTTGAGCTGAAACGGCAGCGGCGCCGGGTCAGAGTCAGCTGCGGCTGCGGCCCAGACCCACGCACAGCCCCCCCCCCCCCCCCCCCCCGGCCGCAGGCAGACGTGCAGACGCCTGATAGCGCGTGCCCAGCAGCTGATCCTGGACAGCGCAAAGCACTCCCGAGAGCCTTAATTCCAACGTTTACGTCCGGGGCGAGACAAAGGCCTTTTCGTTTGCATACCTCTTGGAAGGTGATTTCTGTTTGGAGCTCCCCGACTTGCTGGGTGACTTGGACTTGCTGGGCGACTTGTGCTTGCTGGGCGACTTGTGCTTGCTCGGTGACTTGTGCTTGCTGGACGAGTGGTGGCTGTGCCGGCCTCGGTCCTTACTCGGCATGGCCCTACAGAGAAGCAAGCGTGACCACGGCCGCCAGCCACCCAGTCAGCCGGCAGAACATGGCGTCTGACAGCAGGGCCCACTGCTCGCTTAGAGAGCCGCCGCAGCCGCTGACCGCCATACACAGGGACCTGGCACACCATCAGACAACCTCTAGACATCTTTAACGACTTCTCCATAAAATACACGCAAATCGAGACGCATTTGTTGTGTGTATGGAGTCAGAATGCAACTAACGCTACTGAATACCAGCCATGAAGAGTCATTTCCTGAACTAAGAGAATTAATATAAAAGAACGCTAAAAAAAACACTGAAAAGCAATGTGCAAGGGAGTCAAGCGGACTACAAACTCGTGAGGCACGGCAAGATTGATTACCGCACTACCGCTCCTGCGCGTTATCCAATATTTGGACACATGCACAAGTCATGGCTTTTTGGAAGTCCTTTAAATACCAGTTTTAATCTCAACACATATGATCTATGTGACGATGGGAATATCTCCCGCAACATCGTATGATGCACTAATGAGCATTGTTATCGCCGTTAGCATTGTTGCTGTTAATCATGACGCAGTGAGCTGGCCTCCGCCAGAAGAGCGGAGGTCCCGGCCGCGGGTACCACAGTCCGTACCCCTTCTTCTTGGAGGTATACTCGTCCTGGAACTCGCTGCGTTCCTTGTCAGCCTCGCGTGCCTCCTCCTCCAGCTCGGACCAGTCCTTGCCAGACTCTTCTTCCGAGCCCTCCGCTGCGGGGGCGGGGGGGGGGGGGGCACCGTCACAGTCGTAGCGCGGAGCGCCACGCCAAATCCAGCCATCGCGTGACAGGTTGGTAACAACACGGACCAGGACTGTACTTTCCTATTCAGTTGGGTGAGATCCGGCCCTCTCCCCCTTTCCCCACTTCCGAGAAAAGTGACCGAAACAAGGGGGAAGCTCGTCCGTTGGTGCATTTGGGGGGACAGGTTGTATCACCGATTAGTTTTCAGTCCCACTTCTAACTCATTTGGCACAGCTTCTCTCCTGATACGAATGGTGGCCACACCACGACCATAGCACCAATCAGGCGGCGGCCCGTCGGAGGAAGCGTAACATACCCCGTTTCCCACGCACAAATCTTACTTCACAGACGTCCTATCTTAACACACAGGGCACGTGCGTTTGTGAGAAAACCGGCACACGGTGGTCATGACATGACACTGACACCAGTTGTTTACTCCAGGTGCCGGCGGCATAAGGCCTGTGGCGCCCGAACGGCCTGTCCCGCTGAGTCGGCTGTCCAGTGCCTGCGGCGGGTCGAGGCCGCGGCTCGCCGAAGCCTCGGGGCGGCGCGAGAGGCTCACCGTCCGATCCAGCCGACTCGGACATGTCTTCCGAGTACTCCGACTCCGAGTCCTCATCGCTGTACTCGGACTCCTCGCCCGAGTCGCCCTCGCCCTCGCTCGGCTGCGGCGGAGATCGAGAGAAGGGTCGGAGCGGTGCGCAGAGGAGCACTGACACACGGGACCGACGGACGGGGCCGGCGGAGCACCCACACACGGGACCGGCGGAGTACCGACACACGGGACCGACGGACGGGGTCGGCGGAGCACCCACACACGGGACCGGCGGAGCACCGACGCACGGGACCGACAGACGGGGCCGGCGGAGCACCCACACATGGGACCGACGGACGGGGCCGGCGGACACCGACACACGGGACCGACGGACGGGGCCGGCGGAGCACCGACACACGGGACCGACGGACGGGGCCAGCGGAGCACCGACGCACGGGACCGACGGACGGGGCCGGCGGAGCACCCACACATGGGACCGACGGACGGGGCCGGCGGAGCACCGACACACGGGACCGACGGACGGGACCGGCGGAGCACCGACACATGGGACCGACGGACGGGGCCGGCGGAGCACCGACACACGGGACCGACGGACGGGACCGGCGGAGCACCGACACACGGGATCGACGGGCGGGGCCGGCGGAGCACCCGCACATGGGACCGACGGACGGGGCCAGCGGACGGGGCCGGCGGAGCACCGACGCACGGGACCGACGGACGGGGCCAGCGGAGCACCGACACACGGGACCGACGGACGGGGCCAGCGGAGCACCCACACATGGGACCGACGGACGGGGCCGGCGCACGTCCGGGCGGAGCGGCTGTCACCGGCTCCGTGCGGCCGCACTGGAGCCCTGCTGAATCTGACCTGTGTCGCGCCACCCACCCCTCAGTCGCCGGCGCGATGGGCGGCCCATGACCGGCAACAGTGCCGAAGCCGGGGTTGGGCCAGCACTGACGTCCGGTCGTCACTCAACACCGTACAACAGTCGCGCGCGATCACCCCGCAGCTCCGCACACACCCGGCCCGGTAGCACCAGCTCGAAACTGAACACAGCCGGCCGCCATCTCTAAGCAGCCGACTTAAGATCGCTCTGCTTCAATAGCCGACCCGTCCTCTCGCGCCATAGAGGTGAGGAGCGGCACCCGACCTTGAACTCGTCCTCCTCCTCCTCGGCGTCCTCGTCCTCTCTCTCGCTGCCCGACTCGGGGTCGAGGAAGCTCCAGCCGCCGTCCTCGAAGAAGCCCTCCGGGTCGTCCACGATCGTCTTCATGATCTTGGCCCAGTTGAGCGACTGCACGCCCTCCGTGTAGCGAATGTCGCACGAGCTGGGGACAGACGAAGGACGGGCCGCACTCGCTCAGAGGCGCCGCCGCATATGCCGGGTGCGGCTTCCGCAGGATAGGCCGAACAGGTGGTGAGGAACCTCAGTCATATACGCCCTTCTTACCTACCACATCACGCTGAACATAAGCTTTTTGCAGTGTCCCGACATAATTGCCACAGCGTTTAATATCGAGCCTCAATTGTTAAATCGCAATCCAACAGCAGCACTAATACATATGCCGAGAGGAACTGCATTGGATGTCCCTCATCGAGTATGAGGATTTGTCATGGCATTGACCGCCTGGAACCTTGACATGATACGTAAGCGGCGGGCGGGTTATTGTAAAAATGTGGAGATATCCTTACTTAAGCCAGTCCTTGACATGGTCCAACTGGTTCATGGGCACTGAGTTGATGTGTGCTGTCTTCTTCGTGTAGTCCTTGAAGACGAAGACGATGTCGAAGCTCTTCAGGTGGAACTGGACACGCTCAAAGTGCACCAGTTCGATGCTGTCCAGGATGATGACGAACGGCGGCTGGTAGGCAACACAGCCATCAGGCCGTCAAGGCATATCGAATAACACGCCACAAGGATAACGACGAGGACCTCGGTCAAACAAAACGTGTACTGACCTGCGCCGAGATTATAACAGTATTTTGAAAACACTGGATCGGGAACAACACTGAAAATTTCGAGATAAGTATTGGCCAGTCAGGTCTACGTAAAATGACCTTCCGCACGCAGACCAGCGTACACATGCATCTATATCGTTCGGTCAGAGTTAATTATCCGTGTGAGCTCCATCTCTCTGCTTCACACAATTCAGACAGAACAGACCCGCGCATGAATCAGACCCAAAACAGTGACACAAGGAGCCAACTGCCCCCGTCCCGCTCACGCCGCAGGCGTCATCGGGGTAGTCCACTCGCGTATCGCCCCCTGCTAGCCTCAGCACAACCCCCGAACACGGAGCGCGGAGGCGGTGGACGCGCAGGCGACACAGCAGGGACGCTGCCCCGCCGCTGACTCAGGACTGCCCGGCCACCGACTCACCCAGTCGATGAGGGAGACCAGGGCGCCGGATGTCGGCTGGAGCATCACCGTGGAGCGAAACGGCGCGCCGAAGAAGCCCAGGTCACGGAACGGCGTGTCGAAGTCGACCTTGCCCTTGGTCATGGCCTCCACCTGAGCACGAGGACGGCGGTGGGGATGACGGGACCAGCTGAAAGGCGGGGGACCGGAGAGGACCGCAGCCAACCGTCGCTGGCACCCGTCACACGCAGAGGCGGCCCATTCTGACGAGATGCCGACATAGTACATCTCGTAATCGTCTAATGTACGGCAATTTGCACATAAGTACAAATCGATCATGGTGTTTCAAGAAGGACAAAATACTGACTGTGGATCTCGCAAGGTTCCGCAGCCTTACGTTGATCCCTGTGCCACCGCCCTTACGAGGTCCCGCGGCCTTACGTTGATCCCAGGGCCACCGCCCTTACATCGCCGCAGCACCAGTGCTGTAGATTGAGATGACGCCTAATTCAACGTGTTCCCAAAAGTAATTTATAACCTTGTGATTGCTTCCTTTAAGCCGTTTTAACCAGCATGCCAAGACGAGTACATATCTGTCGGGAGCTTCACGTGATGGCGGAACACATCCCTGAACTCGCGGCCCAGTGTGGGGGCCAAATGACCCAATTTCCGGGGGTAACTTCGGGAAGGCGCGAAAATTGGTAAAATTAGCCACACTTTGTGAGGCGGCTGACCTATGGCAAATCAGTCGGACAGTGGCTGTCAGCGCAGGCAGTGCCTACAGAAGCGACAGGAATGACGCGACAGAGTACTGTTAAACCAAGCTATACAGTTTCTGGATAGTTCTCTAGCCAGCTACACTTTTGACATTAGAACCGCCACTAGTTCCATCTGTCTTGGGTCAAATGTGAAGATCAGAACTGGGTCAAAACCAAATCGCATGGTTACAGGAATACTTGCCATAGCACGTAGATTTTGATGTCCATTTTCAATTCCTGGATTGCAACAATGTCAAACGATTTCTTCCTTTTTGATTCGATAAAGGTCAGTAAACTACAGCTAACAGTTAACAGGTCACTGGCCTAAAACGACCCCGATCAACCTCCCGCGATGAGGAACACGCTGCTCAGAGTAGTCGTTGGCGCCAACTGCAAACTCAAGATAAGAAAAATCCAGAAGGTTTTGGCGTGTTTTGCATTTAAAACAACGAATAGGGTTAGTGATATGATTGGGCGCCAGTGGCATTTTGTTTACAACTGAGTTCTAGATGAAGGCTGGTTGGTGAGCAGACCTGAGTGCACTTCAGACACCCATCTGGAGTTTGACCTTATTTGACCTTATTTGATGGGTTACAGCAGGATCCCGACATTGGACACGAAGGAGTTCACATAAAGCCCCACCTACCATGTGGGTCTGGTGTTCTGAGCTCTCTTAGTTCTTGATATTTCAAGGAGCCAAACACGCACGCGCGCACGCACGCACGCACGCACGCACGCACGCACGCACGCACGCACGCACGCACGCACGCACGCACGCACGCACGCACGCACACACACACACACACACACACACACACCGCCTTATTGGAGCGCGGCGCACCTGACCGGCCATCGGGCGCGTGTTGAAGCCCACCGGCTCATCCGGGCCGCGGGCTCCGCGCCGCCTACCTTCTCCGTGAAGTTTTTGAAGGCGGACTTGAGCTTGTGACGCAGCTCCCGCTCGGCCTGCTCGGCGGCCATGTCGTCGCGGTCGTGCATGTGCTGGTGCTTGCCCAGGTCGGTAGTGATCTCGCCCACCTCCGTGTAGAACTGCACGTCCAGCTGCTTCTTCTTGCCGAACATGATGGCGTTCTGAGGACGGCGGCGAGGTGAGTGGCGGCCTCCGGATGGTGCCGCCGTGGCTCGCGCACAGCAGCGGCCATCCCTCGTCGGGACACCACCGCCCACACTTACAGGTAAGACGCATTTATGACTGCGGCATACAGACCACGGGTCGGGTCAACTCGCCGAGCGAGCAGGTATGAGCCAGCCAGAGAACGCGGCCCGCTGGCGCTGGCGTGCTGCCAGGACTGCCAGCTGCTTGGGTGGCCCGGCCCGGAGTGATCCCAACCCCGCCTCGGTGGTACGGTCCGACGGCGGCGGCGCCGGCTCGGGCCCGTTGTCGACACCCGGCCCCCACCTTCAGGTGGAAGTGGAGCAGGATGATCATCTCCTGGTCGCACGGCTGGAAAAAGGCCGCCCGGATATTGTTGTAGAGGACGTCCACCTTGTCACCGCGGATTGACGTGTACCGGAAGCCGTTTGAGTGCGCCTCTAGAGAGCCTGGTGGAAGCACATCCAGTCGTTGGCAAATGTTCGTGACCTGTCGTGCGCATGTACCAGCGCCCGCCCTCTCGTGGTTAGCACAGAACAGAGCACGAGTATTCGCAGCATGGGTCACAGTCACGATTTCCAGTCAATGTCTTTTAGAAAGGCTGGCAAAAGGCACGCAGGACCGGACCCATCCATCGGTGCCGGACCAATCTGCGGGCAGATGCGGGCCGCGGGTCACCGCCGTGTCGGAGCCGACCAGCCGTGAGAGCGTGCCATCGGTGGCATCACTGGTTTCCTAAGTCGGGCCCAGCCCGGTGTCCAGCTCACCGGTCATGCGTCGCTGCACGATGGTCGGCCTCATGTACAGGTCCTTCAGCTTGGGGTTGCCCTTGTTGGCTGAGACGATCAGCGTGTCTTGCTGTACCAGGTCCGACTTGATCTTCTCCTCGGCCTCCCTGGTCTTGAACTTCTTCTGCACCTCCTTGATGAGGCGGAAGGCGGTGTTGAGATTGGAGGAGGGCGCTGACAGCTCGCCCGGCTCCTTCTTGTTGGTGGCGCGGAATGTGCTGCCGGACGGGAGACAGTGATCATTCAACAGTCGCCGATGACCACCGCAGACACCCGGAGGCACGCACACATGTGCTCCGTTTAAAGCACCCCATTGGGATCTGGAATATGCAAGCATTCAACACTTTAGATTTAGAATACGCGGGCACTTGAAAATACAGATTTGGAGAATACTTAAAATGCCAACAACCCAATACCAGTACTGCGGTGTATATTCATAATGATGAGAAAAGCGCAGATCATAACCATACAAAACAACGGACTTGGTGAACACTTAATTTCAATTCAGTACACATGGCACCAAACACAGAAAACTTAACCAATTTTTGGGAATGGACCCACTAATGAAAACACAAAACTCCATCAAATTCTGTGGTTTGCACAACAATGAGGGAAAACACGACCCCACCACACACTATATATATATATATATATTAAACAGACCACACAATAAACAACATAAGAGTACTGCAGTTGTGCATGTGTGTACTTGGCTCAACAAACACTATATGCAATGTGCAACATGCTTGCCTGTTTGTCTTCCACAGAAATGTATTGAGATGATTGAAAGGAGTGTTTCATGTTTGTGTGGGGTTCTGAGCTGATCTAGCCATCTTTATCATCACTCCCTGTAGTTCACAGTCATTCCCTTTTCAGGACTTCAAACCCTCCTGTTTCTGAGCGTATTCACACAAACTTGTCTAATATGCACCGTCTGTGAGGTCATTCACACATGTCTAATGTCATATGGGCGTCCCGCGAACAACCCAACTCATTGACTGCATTACGCTCATTGTCACGAAAGACATGGCCACTTTCACGCTGGTGTTTGCAGTGCCGCAGCGCCAAGTGGTCAACGATAACACGTCATTGGCCATCAGTCAGATTGAGCTGCTGATTGCATGTCTTGATCACGGTTCTCATTTTTGGTTGCTTGGACTAGAACCATTTCGGTCAGTCATAACCATTTCAAGACTATGGGACGAAGGAGAGTGGATATCAGGGGTGCAGAACTATGCTCACCTGGGGGTCCATCTGGCCAGATTTTGCCCCCGCCCCCCCCCCCCCACCCCCCCCCCCCCCCCCCCCCCCCCACCCCACGCATTCACCCACCCCTCCTCCGCACAGGGTCACGTCTCCCGGACCTGTGCTCGACGCTCGGGCGACCCCCGGGGGTACCTCTGCCCTCTCCTGGCTGGGGGATGGCAGCCTGCCCCGGAGAGGTGGCAATGTCGCCAGCATGCAGGACAAAACCAGAGAAGACAATGGAGAGGGTGGTGTCGATCACCAGCCGCAGTCTACATCACTAACACAGCGTATAAGGGCAGCCACTCGCTATGACACACATGAGGCTGAGCATCGGATCGGAACAGTGCTGCAACCAAAAATGAAAATGCAGGTAAGGACATGGTATGAGGGCAAAATATACAAGAACATCATGCTAAAAGGCCAAAACATAATTGCATAGCTTTCTTGAATTTCCCCACATAAGCCAACAACGCAGCCCTGTAGCGCGCAAACGTACAAGAGAGTCACGCAGTCCGCTACAGTGGCAACCCTGGCGATAATGATGTCATAACAGCGTCCCATGGCATGATCAAATGATAACGTATTGAAGAGCATGATAGATCAGTGGTGAAACTGCATTACTTGGGGCAGCCCTTTGCACTTAACCAAAAAACATAGAACCAAGCTACCAGAAACCAATCAGTACCGCACCGGCTACCAACCAATAAGTAAAACTGTAAAACAAATAGTTGCAAGTAAGCCTCTTCATAAAACTTCATGCCAACCTCATATCTTCTGTGGAATGCTCCCTTTGAGCAGAGTTCCCACTAAGTAACGGGTAACCAATGAGCGGTCGGAGCGCCTTCACAGCTGTTGAACAGCTCATTGTGGCATGATCGCAGGTCGCCTTATGGTTGGGCAGACGTGCTGCCAGTGTTTGGATTCACTCCGGCGCTGCCACAGGGGTGTTTGGATTCACTCCAGCGCTGCCACAGCGGTGTTTGGGTTCACTCCAGCGCTGCCACAGCGGTGTTTGGGTTCATTCCGGCGCTGCCACAGCGGTGTTTGGGTTCACTCCGGCGCTGCCACAGCGGCGTTTGGGTTCAGCCACAGCGGTGTTTGGGTTCACTCCGGCGCTGCCACAGCGGATACTCGTATGCCTGGCCTCTGCCCCCAATTTCTGGCGGAGAGGTTCGTGACAGTGGGCACGGGCGGCCCACCACCGGCTCTGGTGCTGCCGCGCTTTCAACGCTGACTATTAAAATATTACAGTACAAAAATTACAACAATATTCATGTTACTGAATATGTGAACGCCGGAACTGGAATGGACGTTCAGTTCCAGGTATGTTCCACGCACCGCTTCGCATGTGATGCATTCGGCTTTGCTGTTGAGTGTTCCCGTGTGCAGTCAGCACCGCGTCACTGTTGAGTGTTCCCGTGTGCAGTCAACACCGCGTCACTGTTGAGTGTTCCCGTGTGCAGTCAGCGCCGCGTCACTGTTGAGTGTTCCCGTGTGCAATCAGCACCGCGTCACTGTTGAGTGTTCCCGTGTGCAGTCAGCACCGCGTCACTGTTGAGTGTTCCCGTGTGCAGTCAGCACCGCGTCACTGTTGAGTGTTCCCGTGTGCAGTCAGCACCGCGTCACTGTTGAGTGTTCCCGTGTGCAGTCAGCACCGCGTCACTGTTGAGTGTTCCCGTGTGCAGTCAACACCGCGTCACTGTCGAGTGTTCCCGTGTGCAGTCAGCACCGCGTCACTTCACGCCCATGCTGCTCACGGTGATGAGGAGTTGGGGCTCTGGGCGCGCCGCCTGCCCGTGCTGCTCACCAGGCCGTGTGACCAGCGCGCGCTGCATGCCCCGACTACCGTCCCACTCCTCAGTAACTTGGAAAGCACCGCAACCTCGTATTCCCGGCACTTGTGTGAGCGTGCAACCGAGGACATGGACAGAGCGCAGTGTGCATCTCACCAGGAGCTGAAACCCCAGCCCACGTCAGCGTCCTGGCAGAAGCGTGTCAGCGTCCATGACACTTACACTTCTTTGAGAAAGATGGCCTCCGGGTTGGGGTAGGAGAGGTTCTCCTTGCCCAGCGACGAGCCGGGGCAGAAGAAGTTGATGCGCAGGTACGTGTAGTCGCCCTCCACGGACTGTGAGATGTTCTTCACGGTGGCGATGTGGAACGGCGTGGGTATGCCATACACCGGCAGGATCACCGTCTCGTACTTCTTGTCTGAAAGATCACGCGTTACGTCAGCGGGCCCGGCGCCGCTCTGTTCACAGCGTGGGAACAGTGTGGGAAAGAGCACGGAACAACAAGCACAAGAAGCGTGGGCAGAGTTGGCCCTGTTATAAGCCTTACAGGCAGCACCGGCCGAAGACAGTCCTCAAACAGCCTCCTCCTCCGTGGAACACCCCGGTCAGCCAGCAGACCAGGCCGGCCCAGGCCGCGCAGTTTCAGTAGCCGTTAACCGACGGCCACTATGGACGGAATCAGCTGTTGTTCAATAGTGCCGGGCAGGACGCTGCCAGTGCGGTTCACGGACAGACGATCATGAGGACCGCACGCAGATATCTGCGTCTCAATTTGATTTATACGATAAAAGCCACGTATTACACACGGTCACTCCCCCTCCCCCCCCCCCCCCCCCCCCCCCACATTCTGATCACCGACTGACCGACAAAGATTCTGTTCTCCTTGAGCTCTGGCTCGCGCGGCACCTCGCTCTGCTTGCGGTACGATATCTCGCTTTTCTTCTTCTTTTCCTCCTGCTTGAAGCCCTTGCCCTCGGCAATGCGCTCCAGCGCCTCCTTGTTCAGCTGCTCGGCCAGCTCCTTCTGGTGAGAGCGGCGCTTCTCCTCTGCCGTCTGGTCTTGCTGTGGATTAACGACAGCATCTCTGGTCAGCCAGCTCCACTGCTCCATAGGCAACAGCAGGCAAACATGACAACGCCTCGGGTTTTGGCCCGCGGCGGGGCTGACCGCAGCTGATGAACTACGGCAACATGGACATGTGCTACAGGTGGCAACCGCTGCGCGCTGGATGGCTGGCGTGCTCCCGACAGCACTGACCACCACGACTGCTGACAAAGCAAACAGTGCGCCCCGCAGGCGACGAACGCAGTGAGCACATCGCATGTACAGCGGGCAGTGCTAGCTGGAATAATCACACACTGCTTCGTGACACAACTGAGTTTGGCATGAACCATATAACTTTGCGATGCCCAATGTGAGCATTTCCCAGCATCCTCCATCGCCTACCTGTCGCGCGACGCCAGAGGTGGGCGGCCGCCCCACTCACCCTGAGTTTGTTCTCGATGACAGCCGAGCGCTTGCCGCGGCCGAACATCTCGGGCTTGGTCTCCTCCACGGGCCGAGCCGGCTCCTCCTCCTCCTCCTCGTCCTCGTCCTTCAGGAAGATGCCCACGTTCTTAATCTTCTTCTTGCTGACAGTGAGCACCGAGGCCGGGCCCGTCTGCCGGAGAGCGGCGCCTGGCGTCAGGCGGCGGCCGGCACCGAGGGACGGCACCAGCCGCACACGGCACACACTGTAGGGGGGGGGGGGGGCGGCGGCCGGCACCGAGGGACGGCACCAGCTGCACACGGCACAAACTGTAGGGGGGCGGCGGCCGGCACCGAGGGACGGCACCAGCTGCACACGGCACAAACTGTAGGGGGCGGCGGCCGGCACCGAGGGACGGCACCAGCTGCACACGGCACAAACTGTAGGGGGCGGCGGCCGGCACCGAGGGACGGCACCAGCTGCACACGGCACAAACTGTAGGGGGCGGCGGCCGGCACCGAGGGACGGCACCAGCTGCACACGGCACAAACTGTAGGGGGCGGCGGCCGGCACCGAGGGATGGCACCAGCTGCACACGGCACACAGTGAGACTGCGGGCTGAGAACCACCCAACTTCAATATGCCATGACGCATTGCCTGAAAGAAGATATCAAGCACCCACTGATATGTGGTAAGGACAGATTGGACGCTCCTTGGAGTGCTTGCGCTCACGAGTGGTCAGGAGCAAGAGCTCGTGCTCGCTCGAGCCCGTTATGGTGCCGACCAGCGGCCTGGCAGCGGACAGGGCTGGCAGCCTCACCTCCTGCACCACCACCGTGTCGCCGATGAACAGGCTGTATTTCTTGAACTTGTCGTCGTCGGCTTCGTCGTTGGTTAGGTCAGCCAGACCGACGGCCACGTTGAACACCATGCCCTTCTTCATGGGCGTGTTGTTTTTGGGACTGATGACCAGCGAGCCCTCGCGGAATTCGATGCCGGTGACGAAGCTGCCAGCGCCGGCCCAGCCACGTCAGCCCGGGCCGTGCTCAGCGCAGCATCACCACCACCGGTACGGCCCACACCCACACTACCGACATGAGCACGGGAGGAGGAGCATCGCTGTCAGCGCCGGCCCAACCACGTCAGCCCGGGCCGTGCTCAGCGCAGCATCACCACCACCGGTACGGCCCACACCCACACTACCGACATGAGCACGGGAGGAGGAGCATCGCTGCCAGCGCCGGCCCAGCCACGTCAGCCCGGGCCGTGCTCAGCGCAGTATCACCACCACCGGTACGGCCCACACCCACACTACCGACATGAGCACGGGAGGAGGAGCATCGCTGTCAGCGCCGGCCCAGCCACGTCGGCCCGGGCCGTGTTCAGCACAGTATCACCACCACCGGTACGGCCCACACCCACACTACCGACATGAGCACGGGAGGAGGAGCATCGCTGCCAGCGCCGGCCCAGCCACGTCAGCCCGGGCCGTGCTCAGCGCAGTATCACCACCACCGGTACGGCCCACACCCACACTACCGACATGAGCACGGGAGGAGGAGCATCGCTGTCAGCGCCGGCCCAACCACGTCAGCCCGGGCCGTGCTCAGCGCAGCATCACCACCACCGGTACGGCCCACACCCACACTACCGGCATGAGCACGGGAGGAGGACCACCGCGGCCCGATGGGCAACATCACACATCGTTGCCACACCGGTCAGGGAATTTACAAGACAAGACTTGGCGTCAACCTTGAACAGTCATTAAGGGTGCAGAAGCATAAAGCACCAAAACCATTCCACAAGATATCATGCGACATCGGTGCCTGGTCACCGATCCCGAGCACAGCCCGCAGGCCAGCTCTCACCCCAGAGTTTTGGTGAGCCTGTCGACCAGGGCGGGACGCTCCTTCTTGACGAAGCCGACCGTCTCCTCGTAGGCCTCATTGATGCGCTTGCCGGGGATCAGCTTGCCCAGCAGCTGCTCCTCCACGGAGACGAGGAAGCTGTAGTTGTCCTGAATTTGCTGCGTGGGGTTCACCATCAGCGTGCGCACGATGTTGGAGCAGTAGGACTTGTAGCGCGCGCCCAGTGAGCAGATGATGGCCCCGAAGTGCAGCACATTCTTGTCGCTGCGGCACGGGAGGCGGTCAGCGCCTGGCCGGCGGTTAGCGGCGTACGGCAGCAGCACACGCGCACCACGTGTGGTTACCACACAATATGGCCGTCTGCCATGGTCATGGGGATATTGCGGCCACATGGCGCGGTCATGCTGCCCCACCACGTGATTCCGACATGCACGAAGATATGGCCCCATGCATTGGTTTAAATCTCGGTACGTGGAAATTCGGTGTCGATGTAACCACGAGAAAGACACCACCACTAGGTGCTGGAAACGTTAATGGGGATTAAAGTCAAGAAAGCTCTGTTTTACCTCACAGCAAAGCACATGGCTAACTGTCACTGTGAACGAGTCGGCGCCACGAGGCCAGTCACGGCAGCCATTAACCGGGGCAGACAGCGGCCTGCCACGCCACAGAGGCCCGCCTGCCGCTGCGCCAGCTCGAGCCCATCTCCCGCTCACCTGACCACGGAGAACTTGAGGTTGTAGTTGCCGCCGCTCTGGATGATGGCCGGGTAACACGTCTCCACGTGGTTCACGTCCACGTTGTTGGGGATGTATTTCTTGTTGGTCAGCGCCTTCTCCACCTCCTCCGCCAGCTTGGCGTGACGCACCTTCTGCGGACGACAGGTCAGGCCCATCAAGGAGGCGCGGCGGGAGAGGCCGCGGCCGGCGGCCACAGCGGCGCGAGCAGGCGGTGATACTCCCGCTGGTCGACGCAGGCCTGACTTCGACAGTGCGTGTCCTCAAGCTCGCCCAGGCAGACCCGACTATGACAGTGCATGTCCTCAAGCTGGCCCAGGCAGACCCGACTTCGACAGTGCGCGGCGCAGGCAACTGTGACCGCGTGTAACGTTGCAAACCAAGCAACCTGACGAGCTGAGCATTCATATGCTGAGAATATTTCACATTTCAAATACCAGGCACTGGTCAGCACATGCTATATCAAGAGCGCCAAACCATTCCAAACTGCCTTCATGGTTGTGAGTGAATTGACAGTTAATGACATCAAAATACTGGACTTAACTGACCTCCAATATACCAGGATGTGCTGGTTAAGGAAAGCTGCCAGACAAGTATTAGTGATATTTAGAAGGCTCAACATACTGAGGCTCATGATCCCGAGTGAACGGACTACGGAAAAATTACAGTTCCAGATACAGGCGTGTGAAACACACGGCCCCGAGCGCGCGCGGCCACTGCCATTAAAACGCCATCACACACGATCAGGTTGCATAAAACACTTTGCGACAAAATGTCGGTTTGGAAGGACATTCAAGTCACAAGGCTTGCACAAATGTTTTGTGAAAAAACAAGTCAATTTTATATCTGTAGATTCCCCAGCAATTACCTCCTCATAAGCCCGGCTGGTGCGGTTCGTTGCCACGAATGAAATCACGCACCTTGTCGGCGTCGATGATTTCCATGACCTGGTCCTTCAGGTACTTGCCGAACACGTCAGTGGTGATGTCACAGGCGCGCTTGATTATCTTTAACTCCGACTCCTCCTTCATCGACATGATGAACGCCATGGTGGCGCTGACGTCGATCTGAGGGCGGAGCATCGGTCAGGATTAGACGAAGGGCGGTTTCGACTACTCCGGTGGGGCGACACGCCCCCCCCCCCCCCCCCCCCCCGTATGAGCTGTGGCGGTCAACAGGCAGCCCCTTTTAGGACCATTTCGATCACAACTCCAACCCCGCCCTACGCCCACGCCCACGTCCTCTTCCAAGTATACCCAACAGAAGTGGTATACACGCGATGTCACGTACGTGGTCGCCCTGGGCCACACAGGCCATCCGTCAAAATCGTATCACGGTCACCGGACTCGTTCCGCGGACAGTGCACCCCAAGTCCCCCAGCTACATACAACGGCAGGGGACTTCAGCGCCCAGTGGGGATCGCGTACACCGTCCAATCACCGAAGGAGATGGACGCGGACGAATGGCACGCACCGTTTCAAAGTTTGTTTCCTTCAAAGCCGCCCTCCAGCCTTCGTTGAATTCCCCAGGAAATTTATCCTTGCTGTAGACACCGACCACTTTTCCTTTCTTGCTTTCCTTGATGGCTGCTATGAGCTTGGCAAAGTTGGCTTTGTCCTTGTCCGTCTAAAGGGAAGAAAGTTGTAGATGAGCATGAACTTGATACAGTTTTTAAACGAGCTGTTGTAATCCATACGACGAAGGCAAACAACAAGCATTAAGTCGTAATCATGCATAAAACACAGATGCGAAACACAACGTCAGGTCCAAAGCGCAAGTGTAGAATGAAAATGGTACAGGCGAACCTTTGGAGCGGTCGCGGTTGTGCGATCCACCAGGCGGGGAGAAAACCTCACGCACCTTGTCCCGAATCAGCAGCTTGACGGGCGGAAGTGAGTTGTTTTCGTCCTTGCTGTTCTCCAGCTTCTTGAGAAAGTCGATCTTCTTCTTGCTGGCCAGGAAGAAGATGGCCTGGTCGCACATGACCATGACCGTGTCGGTGAGCTCGTAGCCAAGCAGCCAGGTCTGCGTGGCCGTCGATTTGCTGTACACGACGTCCTCGTCAGCGCCGACCGACGAGACCAGCGCGTCCATCTTGCCCAGGCCATCCTCGCTGTTCTTCACATTCTGAAATACATCACAGCTTGAGACCTGAGACCCAGTCTGAGGCCGATTAGCGCTGCACTGGTGGGCAATGTGAAATCTAGCTATGCAGGATTCCATCAACTGCTGATACCAGTAAACACAAGATAAAGCCACTCTGGGGAGGCATCATCAACACAATGGCCCGAATGACTTCTTCCAACCTCTGCTGTGACTACAAATAAGTTAAGGTCATGATGAAAGCATTACTAAAGGCCAAACCAGGAAACACAATACATTCCAGATCCCATGGGGTTTTGTGCTTGTGGCACACTGGAATCAGATCAAAGATCTGTTGGGGGCTTTTGGAAAATATCTACATACTAAACAAAATCCAGAATGTCTCACGTTGCTGCATGTCTTAAGCATACCTCCTGAATCCAGCTTCAAATGGGGCTCGTGGATGCTTGAGCACTTGCTGCCATTCGCGATTTTACTCTGACATATTCCTGGACAATTTTGAGAACATGTCCCGGGGAATGCGCAATCTGACCTGGGTTATTTCAATGATGCTAAAATGACCAGTTGCAGTGTAAATGATCTCAAATGATCTGGCCAGCATTCTCATTTTTCCACATTACTGAACAGTGTCATGCGTGATGCACAGGGTGAAACAGACGTATGATACGGATGGGCCAGCTCATAAGGTGAGGTTAAGACAAAAGTATACACATCCAAATAGCTGTTGTTGTCATGCACTGCAACATGCAGTTCAAACATGTGCTTTCAATTATGGTTACCAGTATATCTGGGGTCTCACTACATGACAAACAGATGTTATGTGTCATAGCACCTTATCTAAAGACTGATGCCTGACAATATTGATGATCTGATCCAGACCATTTTGTTTTTGGTGCTGCTTCACCATTCTTGCACAGGCCAGGCAGTGCTGACAAAACGCCATTCAGATGACAAAAAGGTTAAATAAGAGACAGCTTTACTGAAAAGCTCATCACACAAATAAATATCATCCAGTAGGATCAACCAAAAGGTGTCACACTATGGTGATAAACTAAGCCATAATGATGTCATTGCGGCCATGCTGAGGGGGCACAGACTACACTGAGGGTAGCTTTCACGTCTCACGACCTAAGTGGGCGGATATTTGGCCTGGCATTGATCGGGCTCCTCAGCAGCACACCACACAATGGAGGGAGCTGATTTGCCCCTCCCCTGCTTATATCAAGAGTGGCCGAGCTGAATTCAAAAATCTACATTGCAATGGATAGTGCCGTGGCGTGCGGTCCCAGGCCGCGTGACAAACAAGGCATTTCATTTAGGAGCATATTTCATGGTGCGAACTCATTGTGCCACGACCAAACATGCCACATGGGTGGGCCTACAATGTTACGCACGCCGCACCAGGCCTATAACAAAGGTCACGCGCCATGCAAATGAGAGCTGAAACCATGGTCCAAACGTTCATTTTGGTCTATTTCTTTTTGTCCTATTCGAGCCACCTAAACACGGAATGGAACAGCTTAGCCGCAATTATGGGTATCAGACACGTGAGCTAGACATATTACTTGTTCATAAGCCATCAAGGGAAAGGTCAAACGGACAACCCCCCTAGTGAATAAGCCGTTGGATCGATCCTCGCGTTGTTTTCGACGATTCGCTCGTGCCGACAGTGCAGCCTGATGCCCTTCAGCCTCGCTGCCAGTCCCGCGGTCGTCGGCGAGCGTGAGAATGACGTCGCCCCCGCCGCCCGCCGCTGCGGCAGACCTGAGCCCCGCCGCCCGCCGCTGCGGCACACCTAAGCCCCGCCGCCGCCGTCGCAGCCCGGGCCCACCGGGGCATGGACAACATGCACACATTGCGTCCATGACTCAGTTATTGTCCTAGACAGCTGCTTGAAACGTGGTACAGGCATTCTTCATAGTCATATCTAGGGTGTATTTTCATGTTCTCATGATTTCTATTGTCAGACAAAGAATTTTGGGTGTGCTTATTATGAAAATTTTGTTTTTTAACGTGCCAACACGTCATGGTGCAATATCAAAACACAATGATGGGAGCCATATGAATGATGGGTTGATCATTCAAATAACCATATAAATGGGTTAATTGGCTCACACTTCCTACTTACAGATGTAAAATATGTCCTTTTCATCGACATCTGTGTCCATTTGTCCACAGCTATGTGCTTTTGCCAAAAGATTGGCAATCCCTTTGATGTTACACACACTTGATCTGCCATAGTCTCATGACTTCTATTTTGATGCAAGGCATAGAATTCACCAGTTAATAGCTACTGAAAATTTTGCAGCAATATCTCAAGGTATTTTTGAAACATCATGAATATTGGACAAGGGGCAGATTTGACCTCCCCCCCTTCCCCTCCCCTCTAGACAGTGTCAGCTTAAGTGAGTCAAGGCTATTTTAGCTTAGGTTGTAGGCGGTTCCAACAGTAAGGCTTACATCCAATAACATATGCACTTGATAATATCATCAGCCATATGTTGCAATCACACCACTGACTGCGGCAATCAAATAGGCCAGAATAGGGGATGTTTGCAATGCTGGTGCACAGAATTCAGTGACAAGAGCCTTACATCAGAGAAGCAGCATGCAATATGTCTTTGTGTGAGTTGATTGAGGCTGATCACTTTTTGCTGACTTGGCCTGACCCCTTGCTGACTTGACTGCCCCACCCCCACTCTCACCCACATTCTTCATTCAGCACATGTCATGCAGATTTGCCACCAAAATCAAGCTAATAAAAATTCACACTAATGCCTGGCACAGGTTTATAACACCATCAATTGCGACATACACAAACGTTGCAAAATTGCATAACATTACACCTTCCATGATGGCACACAGAATTAACCTGCTGATGTGCACTATGACCAGCAGCATGTGCTGAAGGTGCACTTAGGTACACCTGCCAGTCTAACTCCTGTAGGTTCCAAAGCCTTTTTACCATTTTGAATGTCAAGTGAATCAGTATTAGAAATTCCAAAAATTTTCCTGGTGGCTGAGTACAAATGTCCTATAGGTGAGTACGAAAATATCTCAGTGCTGTGGGTCATTACAACTTCATTTAAGTTATCTTTGAGAGATAGTAATACAATGGGTGGTACTCAACAAAAGTGCCACTTTTCATGCACAGCAATTCATCTCAAGGCACTTTAAATGAAAGAAACAACAGTATTACACATGGCGCACTGAAACAAGATGGTCTCAGGCTCTGTACTATGAAACATAGGTGCGTATATATGTGTATGTATATGTATATATATATATATATATATATATATATATATATATATATATATATACATGGGTTTCCAATTTATGAAAGGCTTTGCCTATGCACCCTCCAAAACGAAGGGTGGTTACATACCGGGCTTCTACACTCTCCAAAATGGAGGGTGGCTACGCACCGGGCTTAGACACTCTCCAACATGGACGGTGGCTCTGACACACACAGCCAGATAAAAATGGTAAACAAAAAATGCAAATGAACGTGCCACAGACAGCCACCTCCTTATGCACCACCACAAACTGCTAAACATTCGTGCCCTCCACCTCCCGGAAAACACGTGGGGCCCGCACGTCGCAGCCGAATAACAGACAGGCAGCACTCTCAGCTGATTTACCAAGCCAGCGCAGGTGCAATGCCTGACAACCCGGTGCGGGCCGGTCAAAAGAGATCTGAGTCAGTCACTCTGCTGACTCAGACGGATAAAGCAATGTCTTTATGGACTTCGATGTGTTTTAACCCATACCATTGCATAATATGATAATTTGTGTTGCAATTCATTGATGTTTTTGTCCTAAACCCTTCTCCTTAATTTGCTGGGCCAAAGATATGGGTTCATGTCACTCTGGTATCTTGGTGTTTTTGCCGGGGTGAGATGGCTGTCTCCAAACAGCTTTTTGACTTTTTATAGCAATGCTTTTTTTACTTAGAAGCATATTTTTGTGAATCCTGAATTACCAGATCAATTTCCCCCTTAAGTGACCAATTTAACGTAATTCGAATCCACAGCTGCCATTACAATTTTGAACTGCAGATAACCAGAAGTGCCAAAATATCCAACCACAGGGTGGTTCTGGGTTGCTAATAAGTCCTTTGTCATAATCGGGATCCCGTCTCTATACAGCTTCCCTCCAAATGTTTACAATGCATGCAGCAAGGCATGAGCATGAGCAGAATATTTATGCTCTTGACAAATCAGTCACAAGGAGGCATATCATTAAAACCAACTGGGGAGTTTTGCTATGTTCAACCTCCAACCTGAGCTGGGAGGCAGGCAAAGCCGTTAAATAGTTTAGATGCTACTGATGCTGAATTGCAAGTGATTCTCTTATTTGCATTGCCGTGACACAGTGGTGGTGTGTGAGTAGGCAGACATCTGTGGTAAGTGCTTGGTTGTGGGGTTTTCTATGACCATTCATTGCATACTTGGCAATTAACACAGTTTGTCATCAATGGTAGATTAAGTCATGTTCAAGTTTGAGTTGGTCTGTGCAGGGCATAGGAAGTGGGAGCTTTGCTAATCTACAGACCTTCTGGTTTAATTTTGCCCTGAGACAGGACAATGCAATGAGTTTTTCCAAAAACTGTTGTTGCATCACGATGAATTACAAAATATTTAATTTTACCTGGTGTAGGTGTACTTTCCTACCTAATGTTAGAAAAAATCATTGCACACCATCCGTCGTGTTTAAGGCGGCACATATCGTAAATAATCTCAAAACAGGTAGTCATGCTCCTACCTTCGAATTTCAATAACTACGATGGCGAGCTCCCGAGTGCCGCGCGCACCGCACCGCCTGGACTCCCCAGCGCCGTTTCTGCGTTGCCGTGGCGTAAATACAATATTTCTGCTAACCAGGAACTATACAAAATGTACGGGACCAAGGTAAATCATTCGTCGTGTTTAAGGCGTAACATATCGTAAATAATTTCAAAACAGGTAGAATCATGCTCCTACCCTCAAATTTTAATAACTACGATGGCGAGCTCCCGAGCGCCGCACGCACCGCCTCCACTCCCAAGCGCCGTTTCTGCGTTGTTGCGTAAGTACAATATTTCTGCTTATAAAGAACCATAAAAAATGTACGGGATCAAGGTAACAATAATAAAGCGATCAAAATCCTTTCTGATCGCGTTTGGGTATGTTTATGAAACACACAGGCCAGAATAGTCCAGAACATATTCTTATTAGCCTAACCTAACCTGACCTGACCTGACCTGACCTGACCTGACCTGACCTGACCTGACCTGACCTGACCTGACCTAACCTAACCTAACCTAACCTAACCTAACCTAACCTAACCTAACCTAACCTAACCTCCCCACCCTATATCCCCTTCAACCCAGCATTCCATTGGCATCCATGTTCCATGCCATATATAGGTCCCATATAGCGAGCTTTTATTTAGCCCCCATGCTCTCATTTTGCTTTACATTCCCCACCCAATCCCCTGCAACCCATCCTCCCGCTGGCATCGAGGATCAAATTTCATGGATTCTTGTTACCTTGGCCCCCTACATTTTTATGGTTCTTGATGCCGCTTGATGCGCAGTAATGTTGTGACCACACGCAGTAATGGCGCTGGTGTCGCGGCTGGTGTGTGTGTGTGTGTGGCACTTGGGAGCTCGCCATCGTAATTATAAAAAATTTGAAGGTAAGAGCATGAATCTACCTGTTTTGTGATTATTTACTATATGTCCTGCCTTAAACACGAAGAATGGTGTACAATGATTTTTTCTAATGTTAGGTAGGAAAGTACACCCTGACCTTTTACCTGGTTACAATCCTGAAGTACAAAATCTCCTGGTATACATTATAACAGGAAATGTAGTTTTCCAACAACGACGTGAATTGTGCTCACTGCTTGATGCCTTTGCCAAATGTCAGGTTGCTATCGGCATACTTTCTATGCAGCCACATCTACAATATAGTTTTGTCTTCATCATGTCAAAGTCAATGTGAAATGGCTCCTTGCATGATTGCACAGGAGACACAGCACATGAAAAGCAAAACAACAATGTCAGTGCATGACTCTGACAAGACATGTAGCAATATAGAAACAGTGGCAATGAGGCAAATTTTATGCAAAAACTATCTCAAAACTTTTACACACCAGAAAATACTTCTAAATGACCACAACTTGGCTTGACCTGAATATGGCTTAAATATGGTATGGAAAGCCCAACATAACAACATTACTCATAACTCTTAAATTGTGAGGTAAAATTCAAACAATCTTTCAAAGAACCTTGACATAAAAACCAATATTATCACGGACAACACCGCTGAAACTCTTCTCTATGAACAGCATTGGTGATGTTTGCATGTGTACAAGCTAGTAACAGTCAACATCATTTAGGTGTTGCCAGGGATCAAGTAAACACATACACAATGCAATCATCTCTCTGCCTGTTAACAAGTTGTCAGACTGGGCTGCAGGAATGCCTTGTGCCAAACATTGATAGCCTACTTCATTATGTATGCACCATGACACTATGTACCAAAACCATTTAGAGGTGAGCACAAAAAAACTCATAATATGGCCAAATTCTACCCATATTTTAAACTTGCACTGCAATTGCCTAGTTGCATACTGGAAGGCCAGCAGGGAAGAGCTTATACCCAGCACCCAAGATAATAACCTTGCTGATAAACAAAACACTCTTTTGTGACATGACACCATTCATCTGTAGAACAATCGACAAAAGGCACATACATACCGGGCTCACAGCGAGCTGGCTATCGCCAAGTACATGGCATTGAACGCTCACCTTCCAGCCGGTGTAAATGCGCTTCGCACGGCGATAAAACGCCTCTTTGTCGACGGAAGCACTCATCGTGCAAGTGGATTGATGGAGACACAAATGAACGGGGCAAGGGTAACTGCCGAATTAAAATTAAGCCGTGGTGCAAATTACGATCTTAAGACTCCTTACACACCAGCCAACGCGATCTCTGCATCAAAGCCCGCAAAAAACGCGGAGCAGGCCGCAGACGAAGCGCACCAGCGCGATGCGCACACCGTGATGTCCCTGCTGCGCTTTCCACTCCAACTCGCGCGAAAACTTTTCGGGAGCGATGCCTGCTCGATTACGAGTTGTGGCGCACATGTTACATTTCAGTCTAAACTGACGGTGCTAAATAAAATATAGCACTTAAGCATGTAAGTGGAGGCCGCTCACACGAAGCCCCACCAAAACATACTCTAGAATTTTGGGGAGCCATGGCCCCGTGCCCCCCCCCCCCCTCCTAGGATCCGCCTAAGGCGCCCGAACAGGCTCGCAAGAGAAGGGAGAAACGCAGCTTAACATACCCTAAGTTCCGATGGCTGCACATAGATGACGCTAGGGGTCCCGAGCCAGTCCTCCATGTCCTCCACCTACAAAAAGGCTCACACCACACCGTCACAAACGATCACACATCTACAGCAAAAAGCGTCGGGCTGGACGCGACCGGCGACCGCTCCTTGTGAAGCGAGCTCTCTGCACCCAACGAGCCTGCGACCTCGGCTTCAGGTATCAGAGTCATCATTCAACGAACTGGTCCGAGACGGAAGCTACACAGTCAGCTTCGACGGCGTATCCAACATTGACTCTACCATCATCCTGAGCACCGTGCTGTGTTTACGCCGAGCCGGCCGGCCGATACGCGTGGGTCGCCCCCTCAGCCCTGTCTGGCTGCTGAGTCAGCTGACTGACGCCTGGACCGGCCGGCGCGGCGGCAGTGGGAGGGAGTAGAGGCGCAGGGGAGGTGTGCAGGGAGGTGTCGGTAACGCTCTAAATACAAGCAGCCGCGCTCTTCTTTGTTTCGTTATCTTACAAGCTACTTCGGCTGTTAACCATGACAAGTTTTGACGTTAAACTTACCACTGAATTTGATGGCACCGGCGATATCCTGGACTGGCTCGAGAAGGTGTGCAGAAGGTGAGATGGTGTGCAGTCTGCAGCAGCCAGAGGCGGATGTCACGATCATCATCCCGTTGCGTCTGAAAGGCGGCGCCCCGACCGTTTACCGGCAGCTATCAACAGAGCACAGGAGAGACGCCGAGCAAGCCAAGAGAGCTCTACGTCGCCGTGGACAAGTTCGCAGCGGACGAGCTGTGTACGGCACGACGGCTGCGCGCTGGTGAATTAGAAGACGTCTATTGGGCGAAGCTGCAGCAGCTGGTGACGCTATTTTACGAGCTGTCAGAGGAAGGCGTGGTCTGCGCATTTGTGGCCGGTCCGCCCGAATAGACCAAACGGCTGCTACCTGCTGGCGCGAGGATGGAGTCCCTCTCTTTGCGCCAGAGCCGTCCTCCGAGAGGAGAGTGACGGACCGGAGGAGGCAGCCGCGCGCCGTCCTCTGAGAGGAGGGCGACGGACCGGAGGAGGCAGCCGCGCGCCGTCCTCCGAGAGGAGGGCGACGGACCGGAGGAGGCAGCCGCGCGCCGTCCTCCGAGAGGAGGGCGACGGACCGGAGGAGGCAGCCGCGCGCCGTCCTCCGAGAGGAGGGCGACGGACCGGAGGAGGCAGCCGCGCGCCGTCCTCCGAGAGGAGGGCGACGGACCGGAGGAGGCAGCCGCGCCGACACGACGAGGGCCACTCACACGGCAGCCGGTTCGCACGGCGGATCGCACAGGCGTATAGTGTGCTACGCGTGTGGTCACCCGGGCCACATCGCGCGCCAGTGCTCTGCACGTGCAGGCGGTAATGCAGGAGTTATCCAGTGCTACCGCTGTGATGGTTGGGGACATATGGCAGCCCAATGTCCGGAAAACGGGGATCGAGAGGAGGCTCGTGCGCCGGCCTCCTCTCCGGACTGAGGTGTTGCGGTGCGCCGCCGGTCAGAGTGCTGGCGCTGGGGGAAGCTGAGTGCGAGGTGCTCGTCGATACGGGATGCACGCGCAGCATAGTGCACCCGTCTCTGTGTGCCAATTGGCAGAGGAGCGATGCCAGCGTTGTGGCGGTTAGCGGTCAACGCTTTGACTGTGCCAGCACGGCTGACGTCCGTATTCAGCTCCCAGGACTGTGTGCAGCGGTGATCGTGAACGCGATCGTCGTAAAGAAAAGGCCGCTCGGCTTCTCGGCGACCCTTGGAATGGATGGAGTGGGGGCTTTGGGCGGAGTGAATGTGAGGTCGCCCGAAGGCGTGTGTTTTGGAATGGAAGCTGGCGGCGCCTGCGTGGCAGCGGCGGCGGCCGCGAGCGGTGAGGAGTCGGCGGCGGCGGTCGCGAGCGGTGAGGGGTCGGCCGCGACGGCCACGAGCGGTGAGGGGTCGGCCGCGGCGGCCACGAGCGGTGAGGGGTCGACCGCGACGGCCACGAGCGGTGAGGGGTCAGCCGCGACGGCCACGAGCGGTGAGGGGTCGGCCGCGGCGGCCACGAGAGGTGAGGGGTCGGCCGCGGCGGCCGGGAGCGGTGAGGAGTCGGCGGCGGCGGTCGCGAGCGGTGAGGGGTCGGCCACGGCGGCCACGAGCGGTGAGGGGTCGGCCGCGGTGGCAGAGGCCGGGAGCAGTGAGCGGGCGGCGGTGGCGGCGGCAGCTGATGGCGGTGGGGGACCAGCGGCAGTGGTAAATGTGGAAGAGACGGACTTCCGGGCCACGTATGACAGACAGAAGAGAAAATGGACTGTGGTGTGGAAATGGGCCGAGGGTGTCAAACCAGAGAGACTGTTGAGTCAGGCTACCGAGTACCGTATAACACCTGCGGCACGGAGCGCGTGCGAGGAACAGCTGTCTGCATGGGCGGCCAATGAATGGTTGCGGCCGTATGACGAGCGGCTGCACGGCCTGGTCCGAGGGACCATTCCTCTGATGGCTGTCGTCAACTCAAACAAGCATTAAGTAAGACCAGTACTGGACTTCAGGGAACTCAATGACCACGTCACAGCTCACACCGCCGACGCAGACGTGTGTGCCGAGAAGCTGCGGGATTAGCGTAAGCTGGGGCGCGACGCTGCACCGATAGATCTCCGTAAGGCATACCTACAGATCCATGTTCACGAATCTCTCTGGTCCTACCAGATACCAGATACCAGATACCACTCTAGGTCCTACCAGATCGTGTTCCGTGGCACCCGGTACTGCCTGACCGCTCTGGGGATCGGTTTTAACATAGCGCCGCTGGTGCTGAAGGAGATCCTGGCTGCAGTGCTGAGCTGGGACTCCAGAGTCGACCGTGCAGTGTCCCCGTATGTGGATGGTATTTTCGTCAACGAAAACGTCGCCCCTGCGCAGCATGTAGAAGCTAACCTCCGCCGGTATGGTCTCGACTGTAAGCCAGCTGTGCGGCTGTCCGACGGCGCCCGTGTGCTCGGACTGCGCGTCGAGGGGAAGCGAGGACAGCTCGTGTGGCGGAGGGACAACGAAGTGACTGACGCGCTGCGACCACTGACCAAACGGAGTGTATTCTCCCTGTGTGGCCGCCTGATCGCCCATCTGCCGGTCTGCGGGTGGCTTCGACCCGCGACTTCGTTCATAAAGCGCCTGACAAACTCAGTGACAACATCGTGGGATTAGGAAATGAAATGGTGGAAGAGATGCTGCACCGTACGTCATAGGCTGACCCCGCGGGAGGACGGAGGAACGTGAACGGTACCGTGGCGAGAGTGTGGGTGGACGCTAGTTCGTTGGCATTGGGAGCGGCCCTGGAGGTGAACGGGGAGATAGTGAAAGACGGGAACTGGCTCCGACGCGACGAGTGTGTGCACATTAACATGGCCGAGATGGACGCTGTGCTGAAAGGTACAAATTTGGCCATCGTGTGGGGAGCCAAGACCGTGGAGGCGATGACTGACTCTCGGTCCGTGCACCACTGGGTCTCCGACGTGCTCTCGGGCAAAGCTCGGCTGAGGACAAAGGCGGCTAGCGATCTGCTGATTCGCCGACGCCTGCAGACCTTCAAGCCGGCCATCGAGGAGCACGAGCTGGCAGTCAGCGTCAGCTTTGTGAGCTCCTGTGAGAACAACGCTGATGTTCTCACTCGAGTGCCGCAAAAGTGGCTGTCGGCTGCGTCCAACGGTGTCACCTGCGCCGCCGTCTCCAGTGACGGGGCGACGGAGGAGCTGTCAGAAACCCGCAGAGTGCATGAACTCTCTGGACATCCAGGAGCTAAGCGCACCCTGCATTTCTGCAGGCGCGTCCGGCCGACGACGACAGTGACCAAGCGTTAGTGCAGCGTTTGGAGACTTCACGCGGCGGTGGGGGCTCGCGGTCTGGTTCCGTGCAGATCATGCACCGTCTGGAAACGAGGTGGTGGAACGATGCCACCGAACGGTGAAATCTGTCCTGGCTCGGTCACAGTGTTCGGCGGATGAAGCCGTCTATATGTACAATGGGACACCGAAGGACGGGATGGGACATGAGACTGCGCCCGCGGTACACCGGTACGAGCTGCGCGTGCGCGGAATTGACAGAGCGGTGGATGAGCCGAGCGTAGTGGTATATAAGTTTGGTGTTGGCGACAGTGTGTGGATGTGGGACCCAAGCCGCTGATGTGGTAAACATAACTCGCTCGGCACTGTCACCAAAGTGCTGTCCGCGCAGACCGTGGAGGTCGACAGAATGCCTCGGCACGTGCGCGACCTGCGTGTCGCCGGCGTGGAGCGAGATGACGCGGGCGAGGAAAGGGGGGCGGCGGAAGGCTCTGATGTAGACGAGCCGAGCATGTTCCAAATAGCGGCTCCGCGTGTGGATCAGGACGCAGAACGCGAGGTCAGGGAAGCCGGGGCGCCGGAGGACAGAGCCAGGAACGGGAGGGAACATTGAGGTTCACAGTTCACATCATGTTCACATAAACCCAGTTCACATCATGACCGGCAGTTGACGGCCATGATGTGGACCGAGAGCCGCAGCCGCCGAGGAGGAGTTGTCGTGCTATACGGCAGTGCGCCCGTTGTGCCATGTGCCAATGAGGCGCGTTATATTATGTGTATGACCCTGTGTATGATGTGTGACGTGTTGTGATCTAAGATCAGGGGGAGTGTGCTGTGTTTACGCCGAGTCGGCCGACCGACACATGTGGGTCGTCTCCTCAGCCGCGTCTGGCTGCTGAGTCAGCTGAC